GCAGCGGTGAAACTTCGTTTTTCATTTTCGGGGGAAGGCAAGGGGAAACGCAAAATTACCTTGGAGTCTCACAGTCAGCAGAACGGCACATACGGTAGTGAGAAGTACTGCTTTGCTTAAAAACCTGTATCAGAGCAGAAAGACACGGGCAAGGTTCAGAAAGGGGGAGTTGGCATATTAGGGGCTGGCCCTGCAGTTCCCAACTTCTCAGGCTTTCATTGTGTAATGGACCCCCAAATTAAGGGCTACAGAGAAATCGAGGTGCCAGAACGCAGCAGCTGGGCAGGGGGCTTTCCAGCACAGCCCACCCTGCCTAGGGAGACCAGTACTCTGGGGGGGGCTGAAAGGGGCAGCCCATGTCCAAACAGGATGCCAGTGCATTGGGATGGCAGACGACAACCCCTTCAGCAGGCTGGTTCTCGCTCGAGCGAGCGAGCTGCCCCAGGGAAGCGCAGTGACAGGATGCAGTCCCGCAGAGCTGTGCCGCCTGCGAGGTGTGGGGTCTGCACGTGTGCCGGGCAGCGCTGCCCTCCAGGCCCTCGGCCCTCTGCAGGGGTTGCGACAACCAGTCCCTCAGATCAGGATCTGGGGGAGAGATAAGCAGGGACACATCTGATAGGGGTGAGCCAGGCTTGTGCAGACCCTGAGCAGCTGAGGGCTACAATGTGCTTCCCACCCTGAGGGAGGATGGTTAAGCAGGGTCTTGTTGCCACCGAAATGTTGGACTAAGGCATCTAGTGAGTCTTCAGACAGCTTATATGGTCCTTTTGGCTTAAAGAAAGGGCTGAGATCTCTTACCGTGCCAGGATGTCCCTGTCCAAGTGGCAAACGTGCTGAGATTCTTCTAAACTGTAGCTCTTTTCACCGAACACCACACCTGGGTGCACAGCCGTGGCACACAGCTGGTGGGGCTGGCCCTGCCCTGGCACTTGTGTCCCTGGGATGTCGCCGGCACCATTTGAGACGGCCTCTCTGGGCTGTGAGCAGCGTGGCACCTGCAGGGACAGGAGGAGGAAAGTACCCCGGGGCCATTGCCCCAGCGGAGGGGATGGGGAGGAGGATAGGAGACGCTGGGCACGCTGACCCGAGCAGTGGGATTTCATCCACGGAGCATCATTTGGTGCCAGGCTCCGCTGCTGGTAAACGGTTGGTTCCTGTAACCGGCTTCACGTTCCCTTAGCAATTATTTGTGAGTAACCGGTAACGTCAGTCATCAGCTGAAGTTTTCGATGAGGTTTGTCTGACATTCAGGAAAACACGTCTGACAGAACACGGCCTAATTCTGATGAGGCTACTTCATAAAAAAAGTAAAAATGCAGTTTTTCCAAAAGTGAAGTTTTCACTGTTGGCTCATGGGAGAGAATTAAGGCGTCGGGCTTCCTTCTGAGCTCTATGCTGAGCCTGATCAGGCAGTGAATGCGATGGGAAATGCAGCTTGATATTGCTCTAATTTGAAATGAAATGTTTTTGATTAGTTTAATAAACTCCAATGAGACCTCTATCTTCCAACGACATCCAGTGTTTCTTTTTCATTTGTAAAAGTGTTGATGTTTCTGAATATGTTTTCTCAGAAAGGAAATCTTCAGAAGAGCATGATTTGTAACAAGCCACAATATCTCCCGCCTGATTTTGAAGGCAGTGTAGGGAAGGCAGGGTTTGCCCAGTCCTTTTGCAAGCTTCTAGTTGCCATTTGCCAAAGGTTTGCACAGCACACGGAAGTCTAGGGCCCTTCTTATTTGAAACATCTAGATGCTACTGGAATACAAATACTAAATAATAAGTTATACGGTCTAATGCTGCCCCTACAATAAAAATCACAGATAACATTCCCTCTTTGGGGTCCTACTTTACTGTGCTAACATTACTTAAGGCTTACAAGTCCTCTGAACAGGTCTCTCTCACTGCCAGTGGCCTCAGATACTGCACAAAAATCTACTTCTCACTCTTTCCATGCTAAAAAACTTTTAAAGCATGAAAACACCCCATTACCATACATAGAGTTGTGCCAATATAACATAGCTCTGTATTGTGTAAATTACTACATCTTAAAATAAACTTGAGCAGTCACTGCATTGACGTACGTTCCCGATAGCCTAAGAGTAGGCATAGCCTAGAAATGCAGATAATCTTTGGTATAATAACGTATCTTCATTAAGAGTAGGGAAAACTGCCCGAGCAGCTGGCGTGCGGAAGTCACAGCTGCCAGGCCAAATCCTGCCTCAAGCATGACACAAGTAGTGCCATTGATTTAATGGAACTTGTTTGTGTGAATTACGGTTACCGGGCTTGGTTCTAGGCAGAAAACCTAAATTTAATTTATTTTCAGAAAATAACACCCAAGATTTCTCCCTACCGCCTTTTAAGCAGGAAAGTTTATTCCGAGTGTTTCAGAGGAGGAAAACCTAGTTTCAAGAGTTATTTTCAGTATTTTGCAATGTACATGTTGTTCCAGTGTCCCTATTTAATAATTTCTTAAACCTGTCTCTGAAATAGCACTTCATATATTTCTCTAAATCGATGAAACATGTTAGAAATACCAGCTGTCCTATTCACATATCTGTACAAAACAACTGATCCATGAAAGTATATTAATCAATATCAGAAGCAAACGTTTAATGTTTTCCAACTCTAACACTATATTGATGAGCTTTTACCAGGGAGGGGTCCAAGTTTAAGCCATGACTAATTCTGGCTCCAGGGAATGTGTGTTTGTGTGATTTCAGCCCAGTTTTATCTTCTGCTCAGCAAAAAAGCCCAGGCTAACTGGCTGGAGTTAGGATAGCCACTCAAACTAACGACCCCGACGATTTTTAAAGCGACTTTTTTGTTTCAGGTAGTCGGGAATCTGCTTTTGTACATGCCATCTCCTCCGCTGGGGTTGTTTTTGCCATCACCAGGGCATGTAGCCAAGGGGAGCTGAAATCCTGCTCCTGCGATCCCAAGAAGAAAGGCTCTGCCAAGGACAGCAAGGGCCATTTTGACTGGGGTGGCTGCAGCGATAACATCGACTACGGCGTTAAATTTGCCAGAGCCTTCGTGGATGCCAAAGAACGGAAAGGAAAAGATGCAAGAGCGCTGATGAACCTTCACAACAACAGAGCTGGAAGGAAGGTGGGTGTCCATCCAGCAGATGCCTGGAGATGCTCTCAGTGAGCTCTCACAGGTCTGGGGCAGGTAACGGTTGCTGACTGATCTCAGCAGTTAGGAAGAAGCGTGGGCTGAGCGGGGGCCTGAGATGCTATTTCTGTCTCCCTTGGAGGTTCAGCGTGGCAGAGATCTCCAAACAGACTGAGTGCAACTGCTTGACAGTGCTCCCGTCTGAGTCAGTTCAGCGGCTCCTTGTGTGGGACGTTAAGCCCGAGCCCAAGTCGTTGCAGGATCAGTTTGGATGGAGGCATTGTTTTGAGCCTAATCCTTATATATGGAGGAGTTTTACTTTCAGTTAATAAAGAATAGAAATTCCTAAGGGAGGCTGAAGACCACGCTGAAGAACAGGCTTGACTATTAAAGAGCAAATTCAAAATAACGTTGGAGAAAAAAACCATACTGTCCATTCCTGTATGTATACGGTAAACCTAAACACAAAATGAGCAGAGATAAAATACAATTACTTCACCTTTTAAGAAAATAAATCCAAAATACGTGTCCCTCCAAAAGGCGTTGGCCTTCGGGCATGACCTGCTCTAAACAAAACCCTTCTCTAAACATTGCATGAAAATACCATTCTTCAATTTCAACAAGAAGAGTCTTTACTTTTTTATTGTAGGCGAGTAGAAGGAGTAGTTGCCGGACATATTGCCCACTGCTGGTGCAAGGGCTGAGGAATACATGCACTAATGTTTTGTGGTGGCAGTTATAAATAGTAAGAATAGTGCATCAAACTGGACTATGCTGTTTCATTATTCAAAACATATTCAAAAATTTCCTGCATCCAAAACATCAGAAATAATATGGAAAAATATTTTACAGTGCTAGATCAAGCTCTTCTAAAGTGAATCTTAGAGACGACTTGTTTCTTGTCTTTGGTTTTCCTTAATGTACATTCAGTAGGAAGTAAATTGTTCATATTCTGATCTTTTTGTATTAAAAAGTTCCCTTTATAAACTGTAAAATTGTTCTGTATTAAATAGTCCTTATTAGAAGAAAAGATCCAATTTTAATGAATTGTACTGCAAGGAGATGATTTTCCTGATAAATATTTCTCCTTCCAACATCTTTCCTCCTCCTGTTTATTACCAGCAGGTGTAATTAATATGTAATGTAGACAGATGAGGCTATTCAGGTCAGTGACATGCATATGCAATACTTTTGCTGTATTTATGTTACTGTCCAAAAGAGACTGCAGTCTACGACACAAGCGAAGACTTTATAGGGGTGAATTAACTTCACGCTGGGAAGTACTTTCTGAAATAGTCGAGTGTCTTAGTAAGTTTAAAAAAATATATACACCAATAATAAGACAGTATTGGTAAGCAGGTAGTTGTTTTTTTTTTTTTAGAAAAAAGATGAAGAGACTTTAATAAATGTATTTGATTAAAAATAACCAACACATTCTCATATGCTTTAGGACCTGCTTTATGGAAAGGGATGCTGTTTTGTATCCACGGTGCAGGGACCTCACTACCTCAGCCTGCTCACAAGCCTGGCATTCGGGTGTGGATAAGACCAGCTGTGCCCTTGGCTTTTTCTCACCCCCAAAAGGGGTGTTGATAGGTTTCTTTTAAAACTAGACTACTCTGATTTTACTAATTCAAAAATACATTGAATAAATATTTATAATAATCCCATACGGATCATACAAAATAATATGCTGTGTATCAGTATAGGAACATCACTGACAAAAAAGCCCTGCATCCCTATGTGCTGCCTCTGCTACTCCAGGCCTCAGTCCAGCAAGTTGTTTTAAACATACAAGTAGTTCAACTGATTCCCACTCAGACAGTTAAAACCAAGCATCTGCTTAAATCTCTTTCTGAGCAGAATCCCAGTTTTGTGACAGTACTATTGGCAACAAAGTGGGGCTGCGGGAACATCAGCGACTTCTTTGAAGCAGTCAAATCATTTACAAGTTGGAAAGAAAGCAAATTAGAAGTACTTTGGTTTTATAATACATTCTCGCTTTATTACTAAGAGCCTGACTGAAAAATGCTACCCCGCTGTGCATCAGTCTCACTCCTAATCATTGAGCTTTCCTCTCGCTTACCTTCCTCCCATGATGCTGTTCCTCTTGTACAAACTCTAAAATGTTCATATTTCATGAGCCCTTAAGGCATAATATTTATAGATCAAATATCCGTATCTTCAGAATTAGGAATGAATTATTTATTGTATATGAACCCTTCTGTTGTTCTCCAACATCATACAGATAGCTTAAATGTCTGAGATGAAGCTGAATTGGCTTTAATGCTATCCAGGCATTAAATTAGTGATGAAGGTGATCTCTCTGGTGCAAGCTAATGAAGGCCTTACTCTAAAATGTTTGTTAAAAGGTTTATAAGCATTTTAAAAATACCATATTTTAAAATTTTACGTGGAGCAGATGCCTAGCCCAGGTACGATGCTTCATACAGTCTCTGCAAAATCATTTAAATATGAAATGCCTATGAATTTGTAGGAAATATTTGAAACGCTATTCAGGGCAAAGGGCAACTTCATGAAGGCGAGCTAGAGAGGGTCAGCACGGCAATGCTTCAGCTGGAACGATGGGGAAAGGGGGTACCTTCGCCTACCAAGGGGCTGAGTGATTCTGTCCATTTCCCAGATCGTTTCCTCCTGTCCGGTCTGTGTCCTAGCGTTATGGACCATCTCGATCCTCGGGATGACTGGCAGGAGCGGGGAAGGTAAGCCCACCAGTCGGAGGACTGTGTGTACGGTTGAGTCAAGCAACCAGAGCAGACCAACCATGTGGGGATGACTTGATGCTACCAGTGGGTGTCACTACAGACCGTGATTTGGAGACCCATTGCAAGCCTGGCATTACAGGATGAATGGGAAAGGGCTGAGAAGTGTAAATTAGTTTGTTTCACCTGTGTGTATTTTACTGCGTTTCTAAACAGGCCGTGAAGCGGTTTTTGAAACAGGAGTGCAAATGTCACGGTGTGAGTGGATCATGCACTCTAAGGACCTGTTGGCTGGCCATGGCAGACTTTAGGAAAACAGGAGATTATCTGTGGAAGAAATACAATGGAGCGATTCAGGTGGTCATGAATCAAGATGGCACGGGTTTCACTGTGGCTAATAAGAGATTTAAGAAGCCAACTAAGAATGACCTGGTATACTTTGAAAGCTCTCCAGACTACTGTATCAGGGACAGGGATGTAGGTAAGCCTCTATCGTTACACGTGAATGGTTTTATTTCAGACGTTTGTACTTTGAAGGTAAAAAATTATCATTATTATTGAGTGTGTGTGTGTGCATATATACATATATACATATATATAAAAAAAAAAAATCCATGCATGTAACCAGCAGGAAACAGGCAGGAAGATGTTTTGGAAGGATAGCTCTGTACAAGAACAATAGCTCCTCAATATCCCTAGGTGTATGACAACCAGTTGTTCTAATATAATTCAGCAGTTTCTTCCAGATGCTATGAAGCCCTGGAGACGCTGCAAGGCTGAAGTTGCTTTTAGGACAAGCAACTTGAGTTATGCTCTGGAGGCAGGTCCGTACTGTACACAGCCACGTACACGCTTGTATCACACAGCTCACTCCAGAGCTGCCAGATGTAACTACAGCAGCCCCAAGTCCCACGATGTCCCTATGATACCACCTCCTGTTGCACTGCTTGTCTTCCATGTTGTTATGCTGCTGCTGCAGACTCCCAAGAGACCAGTGTCCTCCGTTATCTGCACATTCCCCGCAGCTCACTATGGACCGTGGACCCCCTAGTTGTAGACGCACCTCTCCCCATCAGTAATGTAGGAGGTGCAGCAACTTGGTGCAAACCATGCTTGCACCAGTCAATGGAGCTGTCGGTAACGCAGTGCAAGGCAGCTGGAGGACGTGCAGGTGGATGAAAGCATAGAGGTCGGTGGGGCCCAGCACACTGCATCGAGTGACGCGGCTGTGTATTCCTCTTTACGAGACAGTGTTGGCTCCGTCCATGATAACCTTCACGTTTTCTGAAGAGTTGTGCCAGCCCCAGTGGGAAGAGGTAAAGTTTCAGGGCTGCTATTAACACTGAATTTTTCTGCTGGTAGAGATTTCAATAGAGACACACTTAACAGTGTTGCAGGATTCAAGGCATTGCCAAGCACCAGGAATCCTGCTAACGGTTCTTGACCCGTGTATAGCATTTCCTGATGTGGCAATTAGAAACCAGCAACTAGAAAACCTGAAATTTGGAAAAGAGAGCCAGACTGAGTAATGTATGAAAGATGTTGTGGAACTAATTAATAGGTTGTATAACGTACCAGATTGCACCCGCTATGACATATCCGTAAGTATCTGGATAGCAATGCAGCTCAACTCTTTTTGGCACCGCTGCATATTTACAATCCAAGTTCACTTGGAATAAGCTTTGCAAAACAACTGTACTTAAATAAGAACAATATGTGAAACCCTGGTCATGTACTATTGACTTCAGTGAACACAGAATTTCATCCAGTATGCTTATGTTGTACAGTGTTTCTAGTTAGTTGAGTAGTCAAGGTAATTTTAAATGTTATTTATGGCTTTTGCAGGTGATGCTTATTACCTGCACAAGCACGTGTTGTTCCTTGAATAGCGACCGACACTGTAAAATCTAATACTTTAATCCAAGTGAATAAATGGGCATATTGTGGCATTGTGCAGAGACTAACTTTGCAGACTAGGATTTACTCAAAGTTTTGTTGCTTGAAGTTGCCTCGTTCATTGTAACACCCGTGATTTCTTTCCCCCAAAAAGGAGGGCCCACACATGACCCACTTTTATGTCAAAAAGCCGTTTAATAATCTCTTTGTACTAAGCCTAATCTCATCTGTCAGTCTTGTTATTGTGGAGGAGAGTGGGCATTTTTCACCACAGTGTATTATGCGCGCTTGCCTGACACTGTCAAGCCTGCCCAGAGATGGCAGAGTCTGACACGTGCTTTGGTTCAGCTCAAGATAAGGCTGCGGATGAGGTGGTGTTTCTTTGCTGCCCAGAACTCAGAGAATGTGGCTGTTTGGAAGAGCACATTTTTGGCAAGCTGCAGTAAACCTTTAACGGGGTGCGGGATGCCCTGCTGCTCGCGTGGAGCAAGGAAAGAATCAGACGAACAAAAACTGATCTGGCTTTGAGAGAGGTAATTTCAGCAGCTGAGCAGCATTTTTTCTTTATTACCTTTGGTTTGCCCTGTTGAGCGCTCCGGAGTGTTAGCCCTGTTAAATGACCAGAAATGAAATGAGATTATGGAAGTCTGAGTTTAGAAATAGGTGGGGAGCATCTCAGCGTCAGCTAAATGTAATACCACAGCGCTTTAGTATGTCCTTGAATACAGTTCTGCCTTTCATTCTCGGGGGAATTCAAGCAATTTAGTGCTTTGGGGGGGGTAAAAAAAAAGTATATCTGGAGATTGGTTAGTATGGGGACTGAATGAAGGATTCCCAGAACAAACCTTACGAAGCGTCACGACTTGACCAGGAGACAGCTTCACAAGCTGTAAAATGACCAAGCCAGTGTCCTCTGTGGCTTGGGTGGGCTAACACATATGAACCAGTAAATTAAAGGTGCTCAGGGGTTGTATCATCAGCGGCCTATCCAAAAAACTATGCGTCTTGTCTTCTGCTGTTGGGGCTTTTAGTGGCGGCTCTTCTCGGGTGGCGGTCAGCCACTGGAGGGTGCTGGAACTGAATACACCCCGCTGGGTCTGGCAGGCTCTTCTGGTGGCGGGCAGCCACTGGAGGGTGCTGGAACTGAATACACCCCGCTGGGTCTGGCAGTCTGTCTGGGGGAGGCAGCTGGACGTACATACATGAATTGCCCGTACGAAGTGAAAAATGTGTTACTATTTTTTTCCTAGAAGGAACAGAGGAGTCATTGCTTTTGGGAGTGAGATAATATGTGGAAAACACTAATAGCAACTCAATAGCAAGAGAACGTAATAACCCAACCACCTCTTGTCTAGCATTAAGATTTCACGACTTTTAGAGAAGGACCAAAGGAAGATTTTCAGAAGTGTTCAGAATTCACTTACCTCTGCTCACATGGATGCCGAAATAATTTTTGCTCACGATTTTGTACTCATAATTTGATAGAAACAGAGGTAGGACATCCCAGAGGGCTTTTGAAAGTCTTGTCATGAACTTACACATTTTGCCACGCTTTGCACAGTCTTCCCTTATATTATCATAAATTTCCGGCTCCCAAAACCAATACAAGCGTACCCAGCACTACACAGGGAGAGACCTGTTAGAAATGATAAAGCTGTGAAGGGAACTAAAGTGACGGCTACACAAGTGGCTGTGGCACGTACTCTCTTACCCTGAATGCGTAACTTCACCTCCGAAATGCTGTAAAAAAACTTTTGCTTGTCTGCTTATAAGCTTCTGTTAGAAGCATTTTAAGTTCTGAAAGATTGCTATTTGATCATCCATGCAGGCTAGGTTGATTGAAAGCTGTTGCAAGTTTATCATGTTTTGAACGTACTGGTGGACAAGCAGAGACTGCTTTAGGAATAAACATGAGCAGTCGTAGAGCGGGCATCACCAGCTTGCTGGCCGAGCTTTCGTTACAGGCTGTTGTTCGTAGAGACTATTAAAGCAGTGTAATGTCTTCCTGCGAAAGAAAACATTTTAGAACAGGTTTATAATTTGTACAGAGCAACCAAAAAGCATAAGCAATGTTTAAGTGAAGCCTCTTCCTGCAGGGAGACCACCACCGAAGTGTGTAGAGCAAGCTGAGCTCAGCTACGCATGTTGAGGTGGTGCGTATGAGCAAGGAGGTTTCATCCCCAGGCGGGGACACCAAGGTGGAGTTGGTGGGTGAGTGGCAGGATGGCGTTGGTGAGCGCGTGTTGACTGTTCACAACTCTTCTGGTAGCAAAGAGGCTTTGGCCACGTGGAGGTGGTGGTGGAGCAGAGGCAGGTCGTGTCTACGTGTAGATGGTCTCGAGCTGCTGCAGCAGTCCCTCAGGACCTGCTGCAAACCCATGTGCCACGTGCTTCAAGTCACCTGTAGGTTTCTCCCAACACTCGCATGGTCCTGGTTTGGGCGCTGTCAAAGTCAGCATCACTGCCTCTGCCTGCGCATAAGGTGTGGGTTGTGTACCTGGATTGCGGTGGTCATCTTCTGTGTCCCCAACAGGCAGACAGGGTGCTGCGGCTGGGTCTGAGGACCCTCCACACCCGGTCTCCTGGTGGAAAGCGCTGTGGAGATGCATGTGCAGTGCTATGGGCAGCCTGCAGGAGCTGCGCATTGGGTGACAAACCACATGCCCAGGGTGACCTGCTCTGGGTCCTTCACAGGATTATTTTCGTGTTAATTTATTTCCCCTGCTGCCCCACATAAGCCGTTTGCTGCATTTTTGAGACGAATGAGGCCAAGTCCAGAGTGAAAGAAAAATGTGAAATTAAAGTGTAGTCTGCAAAGTATTGTGTTGGGCAAGATGTGTTAGTACTTGAGGTATGTAACCCATGGAGGGAAACCAATCCTGATCTATGTTAAAAACTTCTCACTGAGGTTAGCCGCATACAGGCAGTCCCTGTGCGACTTCTTGGCCCGTATATCCCACTTCACACATTGCAAATATATTGGGTGCAGTCCCGGCCCCATGCAAGCTGACGGTGGAGCTTGCGATGACTTCCATCAGGGCAGCTCTCCTCCAAGCACCATCCAGCAAGGGAGCAGCACAATTGCCCCAAGAGCCTCTGGTTGCTGAGAGGTTATGACAGCTATCAGTAGCTATGGAAATTAGAGCGAGACGCATTTGCTCTAAACTGAATCTGGATAAGCTGTTTTTATCAGCACGTTGCTGTCTCTTCGTTGCTGGCCTGGGAAATCCCAGCCCCTCTGGACAAGGCTGCCTCCAGCATGCGCTGCCTGTCCTCTCCAGCCCTGCTGTACTGAGGTGTTGTACGTGAAACGTGAATGTTTCTTGGTATGACAAGTAGCTTTAGAGCTACTTTTCTGTGAATATTTAATTTTATTTTTTTTCCCCAAACGCTCGTGTGGAAACTAGTTTATTGTTGTTGGGAGTTTCACTGCTTGGTTTGGGGTTTTTTTTAGGTGAAAGTCAAGTAATGAACTTTATTGCTTGAAGCCAGGTTTTTAATCAATGGAAATAGAAGGGAAATATCTCACGTTATAAAGGAATAAATACATTTTCGTGCTTTAGGAATGGGAAAAAATATTTTTCAACTTACCATATGTTTGCTTAAGAAAACAACTGTGCAAAACAAGAAGAAAGGGTTTGATGTACGGGCCGTAAATTTGGCAGTATTAAAAGCTGTGGATGTTTTGGCAGGTATAATGTTGTGGGTCGGCATGGCAATTCCAACACTTGAAATAAAAACAAAGAAGTTGCACGAAAACTTTTTACAAGTTAGAACATACTCCTGCCTCTTAAGCGATGAGGAGGTGCATTACAGGTAGCAGGCAAAGCTCAGAAAACTCCTCTGTATTTTGTTTAGTGTCTTCTGTTGTCTTCATCACCGGGGTATGTGAGTGCCCCCAAGGAGCGCAGTAACTTGCCCGGCTGCTCGCTGTCGGTTATTGTTCATTTTCCTTCTCATGAGAGAAGCCGCAAAGATGCTGAAGATGCTGTTTGAACTTCTCAAAAACGTTGGTTTTGCTCAGAAACTAAGCCTTTATATGAGCCTGTTTTCTCTTTCATCACGTTCTGTGGATAATTTAGTCTCCTCTCCTAGTGGTGCAGTAAATGTTGATGTTGTATTGTGGGCAGTATCAGATGATACCGACTTCTGACTGTCTGTTAGGGGCTGAAATCATTTTGGTTTTGAAGTCAGTGGCAAAACTCCCATTGAAACCAGCAGGCGTATCCTGCTCAGGTTCCCCTTCGCTGCTGTGCGGTTTCCCCAAACATCTGGAAATGAGAACTTTGGAGTTGGAAACTAACCTGTGCCTCGGCTGAGGAATGCGGTCAGACCTTCCCAGGGCAGCTCCTGCACCTCATCACAGCCAGGCATGATGACCCGCGCCTGGCCTCACGCGGAGGGGAACGTGGGGTCTTCCTTCCACCCCAGCAGCCAGGCAGCATGGCCCCGCTCTGCTGCCGGTCAGGAGGCGTGCTGAGGTGGAGAGCGGCTTTGCTTTGCCTCCGCTGGAGGAGTGACACCTGGCCGGCCGCTGCCCGACGGTGGCACAGCGAAGGCTATTGAGCTATCGAGCGTCCAGCTCGTTTCACACAAACAACATGCAGAGAGCAGAGCACCAAGTGGTTTGAAATCTAACCTAAATGACGGTTGTTGGAGATTATTGTCCTAGACATGCTGCGTTACACAGCCCAGGCACCCCGGGACTTTGGGGCTGGGCCCCGTCAGCGGGGTAAAGCAGCACGCAGAGCAAGGGAGGTGAGGGGGAGCCCGTGCAGGGAGGTAAGCAGGAATTCACACCAAGTTCCTGATGCAGAACGTTAATCATATGAGTCACAGGCTTGGGCGTTGTACCTTTTTTTTGTCTGAGCAGAGAGGGCAGGACAAGCGCCTATAAACGTGGTTATTCAGTTGTATTTTGCACAGTCTGGCATGTGATGGATATTGCTGTGGGCTGACACAAGCACCAGCACTTAGGTTCAGATGTCCCAGCTGTTTGCACAGTGTCGCGGATGGAGGAGAACGTGGTAGCCGGGAAGCAGGTTTGGTTTGTTTTCTGCCACAGGCTTCCTACGGGACCACAGGTGGATCATGTAGCTCTGCATCCTCTTGACTCCTCAACCCTGCCTAGATCGGGGGCACCTGGGGCCACTAGAAGTCTCTCTCCCCCAGTGCAGAGCAATTCCTGGAAAAAGGATCTGGGAAAGGCCTTTTGGCATCAGTGCTTTGCCTGTTGTGCAGGTTGCCCCGGTGCAGCTGGCCTTGCAGGGAGAACTGCGTGGCAGAGGGCTTGCTAGGGGTGGTGCGTGCCCATGTGGGTCGTTGCTGGTGCTACCTTTCCTCCTCCTCCTCCTCCCCCCCGGGACCCACTGCACTGGGATTCAGGTGCTGTCACTGGCTGCGGGAACAGGAGACCGGGAGCTACTGCTGGTTCCCTGGTGCAGGGCGTGCCTGATGCAACACGTCACTGGTTTTTACATCAACCTGAGGTGCTCCCCCAGATAGCAGAGACTTACCTTAAAGTGCTGTTCAGCTGCCTCCCCAAGGATGCTGTGCAGAGCACTGGTCCACGGGCAGCAGTGTGAGCAGGCTTGGACCCCAAGGAGATCTGGGATTTATCAGGCTGCAGGTGCAGGAGCCCATCTCTGGCTCCGTTCAGCGTGTCTTCTCCTCCCTCTGCCTTTTCCCTTTCGGGTGGCTCAGCAGGTCTCCACCTGGCCGGTGCCACAGCACCTTTGTGGCTCAGGACCCCTGAGCCGGGGCCGGTGTCTCCCCCATCAGCAGCAGCTGGTGAGCAGCTCCTGGGGCAGGTGGCTGGGGCGGCCGTGGACACCCACTGAGCCTGGAGTGTGTGTGGCCGTACAACACCCTTCTTCTGCTCTGCCCGCAGCAGACCTGGACCAGCGATTTGATATTGAAGCTTTCCAGGTGTATATTTCTACCCAATGAATATTTAAATATTTAAATAAATACAGGAATATAGGCTATGGGAAGGAAGGCTGAGACGCCTTCTAGGGACTGAAACACTCCTCCGGCGCAGCAGTTGAAGCCTGTCCTGACTTAGATGCAAAAAGAGCAAAACATCCCCCACCGTGGCTAAGAGGCTAAATCACGTATCGGTCCCATGAAAACCCACCGTCTGAGAAGGTGACTTTACTGAAGTGCCTGAGACCATTCGTTGCCTCAGTGTCTGGGCCCAGGCCTGAAAAGACGTGAAGTCTCCCCCGTGCTGGGGACAGTAGAGGGTGGAGGCACAGTGAATACTTGTATGTTGTGAAGTGCTTCAATACAGCAGCAGTGGTATATATAACCGTAAGTACACCATAGGGGGGAAAAAAAGAAAATCAGAGTTTATGCAGCTTAGATTTTTAATAATTACAGATTAATTACAGCTTAAGTTTTATTAATTAAGATTGGTTTGCTGTACTAGCTCATGCAAATTTGAATTAATGTCTGCATGTATTTTTTTTCTTTAAGAAGGTAAATTGTTCATCTTTGATGTACGCCTGTGAATACACTTTGTAAAATGTTTCTGGTTAATTTAATGACCGTAGTCGATATTTAGAGAATCCCATTTTGGCCAAGACCAGAAGAATGGAGCTATAATCAGGTCTAGGGAAAATGTCAGAACAATGTTCATCTCGTGGATATACCTGAAATTGATTTATAATAGCAATACATAAGAAATTAGGTGAAGCAATGAGTATTCATGAAGTTTTCAGATGGATAATAATGATCTGTCAACAGGTGTGGTATAGATCCGAAAGTGAACCCTAAGATAAGTTTGTATTAGCTGAGCAGCAGCTCCCATGTGGTACAGTAGCTGGGCGGGCTAAGACATGCCTTAAAGAGCCATTTTGTGCCATGTGGAGATGGGCAGAGGCATTTCAGCCACTCCAGAGAGATTGTAAGAACATGAAGAGGTGGGGTATGTTCCCCTACCCCTCCTTCTGTCCACAGCAGGCTCTAATTTAGTTTCTCCTAATTGCTACCGAGAAAGAGGAGAAGAACCCTTGGCGCGTACCCCACAGAGATGAGGTGCACAGAGCAGCCACTCTTCAGCTGCCACCTGAACTGGTGGACACGGGGGCCGTGGGCGGACGCAGCCGTGATGCCAAGTGGTTGGGGTGCTTCTGTGCTCACTTGTGCAACGACTTTAACCCTTGGCAGCATGGTTACTCTGCCCAGTGTGTCCCTTGCAGCCACCACATTTAGCAGTCTCCTCTTTCCCAGCCCTCCCCTGCCCACCCAGAGCTCCCCTGCAGAGCCCATGAGCTCCCAAGCACCACAGGGGTGCTCCTCCTGGGCACCCCATTTCACACAGCCCGGGGGGACTGGACGCAGGGGGCTGGAGGGGGCCGCACGGCTGCCTCGGGGAGGGTATCTACTCGCTGGAGAGGAAAGAGATGCTCGGGAAAGATGAAGCAAAGCACGATGCTACTAACAGAATTGGGCAGAGCCTTGAAGTATTTGGTCCATTTTACTTGTTCTCATCTCCGAAGCTGATTTCCAGGATAAATTTGAGAATTTCCAACCTTAATGATTCTATGATTCTATGATTTGAGAGCAATTTTACCTTATTATAGGCATTTCTCTGGCTTGATATTGAATCCCAGGTGATGTGATGTTGAAGGACCAAATACATTGCAAATTACGGCTCCTATACCTATTTTCATATGCTTTCTGTCCTTCCTTAAAATCCACCTCCTGACCTGTCCTGCATTTCCTTCGTAGGGTCCCTCGGGACAGCTGGTCGGGTTTGTAACCAAACCTCCCGCGGCATGGACAGCTGTGAAGTGATGTGCTGCGGGAGAGGCTACGACACCTCCCGTGTCAGCAGAATGACAAAATGCGAGTGCAAATTCCACTGGTGTTGTGCTGTGCGCTGCCAGGACTGCCTAGAAGTGGTAGATATTCACACCTGCAAAGCGCCAAAGAGCGCTGCCTGGATCTCCCGGACATGATGCACAGGCTACTGATGCTTGAGGACCTCAGCCTTTGCCCTTCCTGGTCCATGCAGGGAATGAGTCCGAGGTCTTCTCTACTTTTACGCCAGTTTTGCCTTTGTCCTTCATTGCGCAGAAGCTGCTGAATAATTAATACAAACTCTGCAGCATTTACTTCCCATTTCTGCATGACAGTGTTGCTGCAGAGTTGTCTGTGCATAAACTGATGCAGCTCTGGAAGGACGTACTTCTGCCGGGACTCTTCCAACCAACACGCAACTCTCCTCCGGACTCCCTGTGGCAATTCATTCCTGCCATCAGGAACACAGCAAGACGCAAGGATGGGGCCTTTCGTACAGCACCACCACCACCAACTGCATGGGCTGAGCTTGCTCAAGCATCTTCCAAAGGATCTTGTGCTGGCCACAGTCGTGCCCTGGATACTGAAGTGCTTGGGAGTTTGAGCACCGGTTGGTGATTCCTCCATGAGAGAAAATCTGGGGCCAGGCTGGGTGAAAGGCTTTACCGGAGGGGTGTTTGTCCATCCCCGGTGGACTGGAGTTTGCAGTGAGGTGGCCACCTGAGGCCACCCCAGCCACCGTTAGCATGCTGTGGCTTCCCATGGGGCAGAAATTGGCCCATGGCAAAAAGCAAAGGAAACTGCAGGAGAAGTATTCAACCACAACACTTTCATAAACTATTAAAGAGTCAAAGCAAATGTCTTAGTTATATATTTGTGAAAACTTGCCTTAAAAGCTTTTAAAAGGTCACTAATATTAACTGCTGAGTTTTTTTGTGATCTGAAGGATCGAGAAGAAGAGATTTGTTTCTCAGCCTAGTGAGAGCTGGGTACAGGAGACTCAACTACCTGAGGATAAGATTTCCTATTTTTCACTTACTGAATAAGCAGAAAAATGTTTGCAGAAAGCTGATGGAGAAGGAAATACCTTGTCTCAGTAATGATCGGGTTTCTAAAGAACCTATCAATCTCTATGTTCTTTTAAATTTAATAAATCTATTAAATGTGTTCGGAATGATACTTTCCATTCAGATGGGGACTTCCAAATGAGATTTTTCACTGAATACTTTCTGCAAAAACTTACGCCTAAGATTAAGGGTGCATTGGCCTCTGATGGAGGCAGTTACAGGTTGTGCCAGGTCCATATGCTGGGCTGGGATCAGCACAAAACAACAAAGCACTGGAAAGACGTGCAGGCTCACGAGGCCCAGAAATCGCAGCCTCACTGGAGAGGAGCTGGGTCAGAGAGGGACCAGCCGTCTCTCCTTGGAGCAGAGACCAGCAAATGAGCCAAGACGAAAGATGGGGCCTGTGCCGGTAAGTCTAATAAGGCTCTGGAAAAGCACCCATGAAGTGCAGAGACAGGCAAGGTAATGAAAAATTAATGTAGGAAAAGGAGGTTGAACGGGTGATAGAACGTATTGTAGATGCAGGTAAAATTTCCATACAAAAATGAGAAAGACTGGAGGAAACTTAGCTGGGTACAAACAGTGCATGAAAAAGTAATATACAAGTAGAATACTGTGGCAATAAAGAGAGTACTCTGGTTATGTTTTTTATTTTATTTAAAAAGAATATTTTAAAAGAGTGGGGTTTTTTTGCATTCAATGGTCTTGAAAGAGCAGTCATTTACATCTGAAAGGCTTTGGAAAAAGTTTGTATCATTAAAATGGGCAAGTCATCTCCAGAAGGCACAGCTGGCATTAAAAGATTAGGAGGATCCAGAAAGGTATTTATTTGGACAATAAGATAATGTTTCAGTTACCGTGCACGGCATTAATGTAACGGTCACGGCTAGAAGTAAGAATAATCACGCTTCTGGGTATAAACCAACTGCTGGTGGGAATAGCCCTGCCAGCGTGTTAGTGTACAGGGTGTGCATTACACACACACGCACATGCAGTGCGTATACAGGTACAGGCATTCAGTTCAGTGGTTATACTGTTGGCCTCGTTACTGCTGGCAATTCTGGCTCTGGGCTGGATAAGGAAAATTTTGCACCTAATTGTATTTAAAGGTGAGCCCCAAGGAGAATTTTTATTAGGATTTCATTGTGAAATTAAATCCGCATGTAGTTCACAGCCTGAGCAATACCACATTTTAAGCCTTAAACTTAAAAGCAGTATAATATTTTTTAATTTGTTTTGTACCAGGTGTTTTGAAAGGTTCAGGGATCTTTTGAGTAGTCTACAAATTCACCATGTAATAATGCAGAAAATATTTCAACGTTCTGGAAAAAAGGAAGCCTCATTCTTACAAGGGAACATGTTCTAGGAAGTTGAATAAAAGGTGATGAAATCAGGTCGCTTCTTAACTCCGTCATTTGGTTAATATGTCAGAAAACAAACCCACCCGACTTCTGCAGTCCTAGGTAAAGCGTTTTGGGGTCATTGTATTAAAGGTGGAACTTTTATTCCCCAACCTGCTCCTCCTCCTCCTCCACTGAGGTACGTCTTCTTGCTCTGGCCTTCCCCCTGGTCTCAGGGGCCTGTGGTTCCTGAAGGCTGGTCTTACCAGTAAAACCAGGAAGATGGTGGCATTGAGTACCTTGGCCTTTTTGGTGTCCTTTGTCGCCAGATCCCCCGCCCCGTTTAGCGGCGGGCCCACCAAAGGCGCACAGCAGGCTCAATTTTATATTCCACACAAGTGCCATACTAATAAGCTGCAATGCAACCCCCCCCCGCCAAACCCACTTCACCACAGGAAAACCAGAGTATTTTGCAGCACAAGTGTGTAACAGCTGAGCTCGCCAATTATTTGATTAATTTTTTTGCTGTATTTCTGTATTTTTTTAAAGAAAAGAGCTCACGGTAGGCTGCTTACAGCTGTAAGCATTTCTGCTGCCTTTTCCATGAAGAAAGGACTCCCGGGAGCTTTTGCTATTTCTTAGTGGGAAAAGACGCTCAGAGATGTAAATATTGCTAGGAAAGGCACCTCCTCGACCTTCAGCTCATCAAATAAAGAAAACAAAAGGGAAAAAAAAAAAGAAGAAACAAAGTCAGGCAAGGCAAATGAAATAATCCTGTATTTTGTTCTATGGAATAAATTTATTCATGTATTTAGTCATGAAGAGGAAACAGCTGTCCCTAGGTAGACACTTTAGTGTCAGAATAATGTTAGCTGAGGCAAAAGGTTGTAGAATTAGTATCATTTTTTTAAATATACAGTCCAATTTTCTTGAGGGAGTTCCCTTTACTTTCGCTGCATGAAATCGGAAACTAGCAGCGCTCTGAAATGCTGTTAGCCTGCCAAGCTTTTTGGGATTGCTCCCTCCCCACTATTTTCTTTTTTAACAAACTTAACCCTAAAAAGTGTATTGAGCTTTTTTAGGAGAAATCTCATGAAAAAAGTATAATTTTCTTTTACCTCATGGAAAATGGGGAATGACTTTTAGGAATGGTGGTGTATGTTAGGGCATGTGGGTACTGTAGCTCAAGAGATTGTTGCGTTGCTGCTTTTTTTTTCCCCGCAAAACTATCTAAACTCAATTTGTGCATCTCACCCTCACCTCTCACCCCTGTGTAACCTTCTTTGCAGATGTGAATTAGAACCGAAATACCGCATTTCTGGTACTGTGCTGCACAGCTGCTGAAGGGCATCCAGCCTGGATGCCCAAATCACACCTGCAGCCAGCGCTCCCTGCCCGCAGGCTTCGTGCCCGGCCTCTCGCGGGACTCGGCGTATGGTGGCAAAAGGGAAATGAGCATTTTACTGGGGATTAGTGAAGGTCGCGCAGCTTTTGGGCTGGGGAGGGGAAAAAAAGCTCTTAATCCAGTGTGGCAGCACAAAGCGTACCAACGCTTGCTCACCTCGGTGGGTTTTGCCCTATGCTCTTGGGAAGGGCTACAGCCATCATGTGCAGGTGATGGCCACCTCTGAGGGCAGAGGCGGCTTTGTGGTCACATCTGAGAGCCTGCAGGTTTCTCCTGCCACTTCAAATGACACGAATGAACTTGTATTGCTATCTGAAAGACAGCGGCAGTTCATGGGCTGTAATCACAAACATGGGTTTGTGGGGTTTTTTTTGTCTAACAGCTCATTTGCCTGATTAAACGGATGTGACATCCTAATGTAAGATCTTCTCTTGTGTGAAAGAAGCAAACATATTTGAATCAAAATATTGACTGCTCCTCCTCCGTTGTTCCAGGGGTGCCTCTCTGCTCCCTCGGCAGTGGGAGCCCTGCAGGAAGCCGGGGGCTACCTTGCACGCGCTGCCATAACTAGAGCCGCTGAGGTTTTCAAGCCCTCCGTGCGGTGACGGCCACACCGGGTGTGAAGGGATGTGCGCGGTGTGCGCGAGGGGTGCAGCTTCCTTTGGATGTTCACCTTCTGCAGGCTTCTGCAACATAGGGAAACTCTTGATATATTTTTTCCTCCTTTCTACTGGGGTAAGGACTTCTATGCTTTCCCGCTGAATACTCAGAGTCTGTTTATTTGGCCTTCACACCACATCACAGCAAACAACCAGAGAAAACGACAGCCTTCCCCTAGGTGCAGCACTCACCTCTCGGAGTAGGGCTCTCACTTGGAGCAGCTGTAAATCTAACCGGTTGGAGGGCCAGAAGGTGGCCAGCTTGACTTACCTGACACTCCCGGGGGGGGCGTCTCTCCTTTTTTTGTTCTATGCAGGTTACAGTGTAATGAGATAGCGTGCATCCAAATTGTACTAGGTTGTCTTTAAAGAAAAAAATGGGAACTGTGAACATTTGGAGCTTAAAAACTCCTCCGCCCTCCATAAATCTGCAAACCGAAGATTCGGATGAGTTATTATCTGAACCAGATTTCCAGAAGGCTCATCTCCGCGCTAAGCCGGAGGCTTTCCATCATTATAATCATGGGCTGTGTTTGCCTTTTGATCTAAGCCGTGCTGAACTTCACAGGAAACATGTCAGAGGCAGAAAAGCCTACGGCAACAAACTCTGCCCAATGAAAAAGAAAACCCTTTTGTCTGACTTGCCTAGTCTCCCAGATGCCTAGAATTATAATTAAAGCTAAAGAG